GGTGTACATTTACAAAAACTAAACGAGTATTACTGATATCCAAAATCTTGCCATAATTTGTTGTGCTTTTTATTTTAAATTACCTCAACGTTATTTTCTTCATTTTAGAACATAGAATAACACACTTTTGTGTTTTAGTTTAATGTTTGCATCCATGTGTCGTATACTGTAGAATACTTTATTTTCGCTTGGAATTTTTTTTGGCTATTTTCGCTGGAGGAATGATTCAGTGAAAATAAAATCCAGCGAATATACCTTTTTTCCTATATTTTACATTAAACTTTCAAAAATCAGTGAAAATATATTCCACACAAAAAAAACACCCAAAAAGTATTTCACAGTACTTGACAACAGAACCTTCCACTGTTTTTTTTTTTTTGTAATAAAGTGTATTTTGTGTTATTGCACATTTTATCCATGATTTATCCGATGAAGGTATGTAAATGATATTTGATGAAGATAACATACAAATTGAATAAGACCGACGAATTGTAAGAAGATTGCTTAGTTGCATGACAAACATACGACTTTAGAAATACTAATGTTAGCGTGCAAGTCTGTGAATGAACTGCCGAGTGTTTGTCTGTGGCTGTTTTTGCCAGTCTCTTCCTTTTTCGTAGAGCATTTGTTTACACATGTTTTAGTCTCGCTCATTTCTATGAATACAGCCAACCATTTCTAAGTGTCCACTGCATTCTACGGGATGTTATTGATTAAAATGTTTGACGTGTACAAATCATGTACATATCACCGTTGTATACCCTCATCTTATAAATCTTAATTTTAAAAAATAAATTCTGTATTTTTTTTTAATAATTTCTTACATTTTTATACTCATTTTTTTGTTTTTTGGTTCACTGCTTTACCAACAGAAAATTTAGACACAAAACTATTTGAACTCAAAGGTCAACATTCTTCATTTTTCCAAAAATCAATTTCCATATTGTGGTTTTTCCTATTTTTCTAACAGTTTTGATCAAGATCTACAGTCAGTGGGAAAATATGTCGATTTGATTCCAAATTAACCAAATAATTATTAAAAAAATGCCCAAAATGTTAAGTGTAGGCAAAAAAAAAAAAATATATTGAAAGTATTTAAAATCCAAATGAGTGAGTCGAACAAATTAAATCGGGTTGATCATTCATATTTACATAGTTTATTTGGTTTGATGAAATGAAAAGTAAATAAAAATATGGTACTACATGTACATATATGTATGAATAAATTTGTTTACTACATTATT